AAAACTAGTTGATATTCGTGAAAATACAAGTATCAATGTTGTTACTGATAATAATCATATTAACGAACCTGTCAATGAGGAAATAAATATTATATCAAATTCTGCTTCATCTGTTTCTCCACAACGTGAAAAAAGAACACGAAATCGAACACTCGAATCATCATTATCAAAAAAAAAGAAGAGTACTTGAATATATTTTTTCTTAATTTAATTTTTATTTACTTATAGTTTTTATTACTCATTTATTTGTATGATACATTTTATATTATTTACTTATAATAAAATTAATAAATATAGTTTGTGAAATAAATCGATACTATTTTCTAACTTAAATTGTTTCATCTGAAGTTATTTCAAAGATTAATAAGTCACATACTTATAAAGCCATCATCAGAACCAATAATGATCTTGATAACTTAATTTTAAATGATTTAAAATAACATTTTATCACTCGTTAATTTAATTTGAAAGGATTTGTTTCTATTCAAAGTCTAGAGAATACTTTGACATAGAATCTATTTTTTGCTATGATTTTGCTCTTTTAGTGGTACCATAATGAATATAAAAGCTTTTTTTTCTAGAAAATTTTTTTAAAAATGTCAGCTAGTTCATCAACGACTAATCTAACAGAAGAAGTTCTATCATTTTGCAATGAAGAATTTTATAATTTAGTGAAAAAACAATGTGGTGATATAGTACTTGATATAATGATAACTCAAGATATCTCGTCAGTTGAATGCCTTTTGGAGATCGACAACATCTTTAATTTCTTAAAACTTAATTCAGACGATCTTATTCAACTGAAGAAAAAGGCAGGAATTTATCTTAATGATGGTCGGTATATGATAAAGGAAGGAATAATTTACAAGGTTGAGACTTTTCTTCGAACTCTACGTATTCTTAATCAACAACGTTTAACTACTGACCACCATCATAAATCTGATTTTTTTCCTGACGTACTTATTCCTAATGATGTCTTACAAAAGTTTCCGTTCATTCGTACAATCATTACCTATTCAAAATTTATTAGCACCAGCAAAACTGATTTCACATTTTTAAATATCATGTTAAACAACATGTTCAACAATCTAATTAGTGACGAACGAGGCTACCGCTATGACAATATTATTCGTCAATTTGCAGCTAGTATTTACATTCTTGGAGGTCGTAGCACATATAACTTTTTACGTTTAAATATACCTGCACTTCTTCCAAGTGTACAGATTATTCAATCATATATTGCTGCATCAGAAAGTAACTTAACTGAAGGATTATTCAATTACAATCGTATTTGTAATTATTTTAGTTCAAATCAAGTAACTTTAGGTTTTTGTGCTGAAGATTGCACCGCTATAATACCGAAAATAACATATAATACTTCTTCTAATTCATTCGTTGGGTTTTCTCGACCAATCGATGTTTGTGGTATACCAGTTGCTGAATCATTCTCGACTGAATCATTTACACGTTTTGAACATATATA